TGTCAAATATAGACCAATGTAAACCTCTACAGCAGTTATACTTTATAGCACTGCATCCTGTTAAGTATACAGATCAAAGTAAACCTCTACAGCAGTTATACTTTATAGCACTGCATCCTGTCAAATATAGACCAAAGTAAACCTCTACAGCAGTTATACTGTATAGCACTGTATCCTGTCAAATATAGACCAATGTAAACCTCTACAGCAGTTATACTGTATAGCACTGCATCCTGTTAAAATATAGACCAACGTAAACCTCTACAGCAGTTATACTGTATAGCACTGTATCCTGTCAAATATAGACCAACGTAAACCTCTACAGCAGTTATACTGTATAGCACTGCATCCTGTCAAGTATATAGACCAATGTAAACCTCTACAGCAGTTATACTTTATAGAACTGTAGCCTGTCAAATATAGACCAATGTAAACCTCCAGAGACAGCAAGGTATGATCTATATTTTGCACTCGTATAACAGATTCAAGGTTATATCAAGAATAATTGAGCAAAACGCAGGCATCATTTACACCTGGAAACTACTGTTGTCCCAGGATATCCTGTATCCATGACAACTTATTCACATTCAGGTGATCATCACCCGTCCAAACTCTCCACTTCCTGATGGTGAGACATAAATCCCAGACTGCAGCATCCTTGATGTAACCGATGAATCAGCCACCAGCTGGAGGACATGGCAGACGAGTGACACATACTCTCTACCTGGCACAAACAAGGAAACAGACATGCCTGGCAGCCTGCATACATTATAACTGACTACATAGCCAACCACAGGCCATAATTTGACCGAACAGGGTTTGTACATAATTTTACTCACAAAATTCAAGCCCTTCTAAAAGTTTTTCAAGGCTTCCTTGAAAGTCAAGGTCATGCTAGTTACATTCTCCCATGCCCATTGGCTAAATTTATGCTACATTTGACCAATCAAACACCATCCAGCCATGGATAGATGTGGTAGTGGTACACTTCCATTACGTTGTTACCTGGGTATATTTGAGTTGGAAGCAGACATTTATTACACGGGAGAACATTCTATAGTTACTGTCTTCAAAGAGACTGGATACAAGTTTATTTTACAATGTAAATGTCATATAATGTCAAAGGAGGAATAGATGTATGTTTTCATAGATAATTGTCTTGATGTGGGGATTGGTTAAGAAAGTTTATGACAATTTATCTGTTTGAATTACAGTCAAATCCCGATGAGTCGAATCGCTGGGGACCAAGTAATAAATTCGACTTATCGATGTATTCGAGACATAGGTATGTCTATGAGGGTAGAAAAAAGATGATCCAGTCCTAATTCCTCCGCCTAAGCATTTGTTTATCTAATGATTTCCGTAAAATCACTAATCTGACTTTTGAACTCACCTGTCAATGGCGGAAAGGTGTGAGTCGCTGGCTGGTTTGTTAATTGGATCAGTTTGCTACACCAATCAACTTCTCATTGACTGACTTCGGCTTATGTATACAAGATTGCTGTTGTTTGAATCTCATGGGACCAAATTTCCTTCGAGTCATCGTGTGTATTTATGAGACAATTAAGTGTAACCGGTATTCAAATGATGACAACTATAACAGGGAATGGTGGGACCGACAGGTACTTCGAGTTATGCATAGTATTGAGACACCGGCATTCGACTCATCGGGGATTGGACTGTACCTTGTTTTAAGTATATTTCATCAATATCAATGTTCAAGGTCATCTACAGCCTGTGGGGACACAAGCTTCAGGACTGACTGAGAACCCAGTTGATCACAAAATGACAAGTGTTATCAATGGGATAAACCAATCTCATAATTCTGCTGATGTTTGTTGGTAGTTGAATGCACACAGCAATGTCCCAGCTATGCCATCCCGAGGTCTGTAAATAATCAAGACTGGACCGGACAATCCAGTGATTGACATCATGAGCATTGATCTATGCAAGTGAGATAAGATGGCATGCATTAGCCGAGTCTGAAAGCCTAACCACCTGGTCCTCTTGGTCATGTTTCATGATAAGCGTGAGTTGCTGAAGACCAGTTCTAACCCGGTTGATAATTCTGCTATAAAGTTACAGTGCACGCTGTCAAACTCGGTCTGTCTTTCTCAGATTGCTGTATAAACCAGACTGAACTTACGGTCCGGACGTAATCCTTTTTGTTGTCATAATGAAAAGTTCTGTATCTCGGACTCTCATTATTTCGGATTTGGACCAAAGTGTCGGCCCGAAAAGGTAGTTACATTGCTTTATAATCCGGACTGAGCAGGAAGTCCGCTTGGCCAATAAACCTTGAATAAACAATCTGTTGATTGGTTTGTGTATTTTGTCTTATTTACTGAGCAGAGGGCCGCTTGGCCAAGACCGCTTGGTCTAGCGGTGAACACTTATTTACCTTTGATCCGATTAACACTAATTTGTAAACTATAATTGAAATGATCATGTAAACTCCGTGTCAATGTCACTATGCATTTATGTTTCATGCACAATCGTATGCTCGTCAAAGGGAGATAACTCCATTAAAACCTGTGTACCTTGGACTGCTGTCTAATTCGGACTTTTTAGTCGGTCCCAAGCCGGTCCGAATTAGACAGAGTGCACTACTACTACTTTCAACCTAGACACAACGAAATTCCTTCCTTTTCAATTATTGTGTAGATTGATGTTCATGATGTTGATCACTGGACTGTCTGGTCTAGACTTGATTATTTACAGACAGCATATTGCCAAGTGCAGCGTAAAACAACAAACCAAAACCAAACCTTTTCAATTAACTACTAATATTTCCAAAACTAGGGGACATGAAGGGGAGACTACTCTATACTGCCCAAAATCAAAAAGCATGAATCAGTAATAATCCAGCAATATGGTTGACAGCAAATAACTGACTCTGAACCAGGTAAACCATTGGCTCAAATAATCATAATCAACATCTAACACCAATTTAAAAAACTAAACTTCAAATATTCAAAATCATGGTTTCATCATTGTTTGCCATTTGTGTAAAATCTCTGCCTTAAAATCACACTGTCAACCAAAGTATAGTCCATAGTTTGGGTACAGAACTATGACAGAAAATCAACCAAGTCACCTAGCCTGCCGAGCCCCTTTCAATTGACTACAGAGATAAACTTCTTCCTAGTTCCAGGGGTTCCTAAAAGCAGAACCAGCATGGAACACGCAAACAAAAACAAACCAACTTTATTAATCCTCACAGCAATCTCTAAAAGTCTACAGATGTTCAAGCCTTTTTTCTCTTCCACCCTTACGCCAGCACAGCAAGTGACGAGGCGGAGACAATATACGGTCTGTGTGATAAGAGGGTGATAATTCTCATACCTTGTGACAACTTAATCCAATCAAGTAAAACCGGGAGCAGAAAAGTGATGACCTTAACTTGAAATTCCTGCGTTAATAATCAGCCCAAAGAGTGCTGTGGGTTGTGGAAGTAGTGAGGGCTGTTTTATCGAAGTCGGGGGTAAAGCAAATAACGCCACATCAAACAAGCTCTTTGATGCCTCCTTATTTTGAAAGTTGCATTGATTGATTAACGTTATCAGTGTTATTTGACATGTACGTAGTAATGTGGAAAATGTGGATGGGTAATAAATTGTGCAGAAAACATGAAAACAACTTCTACATACATCATGTCCCAGTCGTTTTCTGAAATGAAAGATTTGCACTTTTCACTTGAAAACAATTTTTTTCACTCCCTTACATTTGATCATACGTTATTTTTATGAATTAATTTTTCCTATCAAAACTAAAACATCGGTATTTGTTCATGATTTTGATGGAAACATCCTCATATGTCATCATGAAGACAGTAAGTTACAGATTTTCTCTTAACATATCATATGACTAGATAAGTACTCCTAACACAGATCTGATGACTTGAGGTAACGTTTCCGTGTAGTGAGTGAGTGAGTTTAGTTTTACGCCGCACTCAGCAATATTCCACCTATATGGCGGCGGTCTGTAAATAATCGAGTCTGGACCAGACAATCCTGTGATCAACAGCATGAGCATCGATCTGCACAATTTGAAACCGATGACATGTGTCAACAAAGCCAGCGAGTCTGACCACCCGATCCCGTTAGTCACCTCTTACGACAAGCATGGGCTACTGAAGGTTCATTCTAACCCGGACCTTCGCGGGTTGATTCCGTGTAGTAGACACTGCAGCAGAGTACATTACCTCAGTCAGTATGCATGTCGAAAACACACTACACTTTTTTTATGCCAGGGATTGTTAACCAATCGGGTTTTGGTAAATTATCATGCATGAAAATCAAACTTAACTGCTTGATTGCTGTTGTTGTTGTTTTATTTTAGGCAAATACATAAGCTTAGAAACCTCACCTGTTCTCTGGATGCCAGGCGTTTCACCATAGTTCAAATATTCAAGGAAACAGAGGGCGTGGGAATGATTTTACGTCACTTTTAAAAATATTCAAGCAATATCGTGATGGGGACAACTGAAATGGACATTGTATCTATCTGTTGAAAATCAAACCTGAGGCTTTTGCATGAGGAGCCTTAGTTCATAATTTATGGCTAGGGGGGTGATGATGATTTTAAGTGGGGGTCACCCATCTTGTTCTGGGGAGGTAGGGGGGATCATCAATTTTGTACACATGTTTCTAGTGGGCAATTTTGTAAAAAAAACATCTAAAAATTATGCTTAAAAATATTGGAAGAGGGAGGTGGGTAATTGATTTTGTACATGACATGCAGGGGGTGTCATGCTTCTTACTTTGTACATAAATTTTTAGGGTGGTCATTCACATTGTAAATGCTTCTCCATGGGAAAAATCATCATCAACCCCACTGGCCATAAATTATGAACGGTCCCTTATCACAAGGTTACCACTCTGCCCTTTTCAAGGAAATTTGTTTATAGCACACAAACTTTAATGTTCAGTCCGGCCTAGTTTGTTATGGAAGAGGGACTACAGCCAGGGCTACACATAACATTCCAGTATATTACTCACCTGTAATGATGTAATTATGCAAATGAGGCAGGTATGAATCAGGCCAGGGCAAGTTCAACCTTTGTGGGGGGAAGAACTTCCTCTCCTTCCTGAAAGTCCTCCTGTGAAACAAATGACACACAATAAGCATGGACCATACACACACATACATACACTAAACGGTATGATGTAACCTTGACTTGATTAGTTGTTTTTGTGACAGCTACAAAGAAATGAAACAGCTGGTTGGTTGCTTAATTAACGCTGCAGTCAGCAATATTCCACCTATATGGCGGCGGTCTGTAAATAATCGAGTCTTGACCAGACAATCCAGTGATCAACATCATGAGCATTGATCTGAGCAGTTGGGATATCATGGCGTTTCAACCAAGTCAGCCGAGTCTGACCACCTGATAATGTTAGTCGTCTCTTCACGACAAGCATGGAGTGGCTGAACAGCAATTTAAACCCAGATCTTCATAGGTTTAGAACCAGGGGTGGAAATAACTTTAAAATTGCTAGTGTACTCGGTGCCGTGGCACATGTAAAATCACTTGCCCTGATCATTTTCCACTGTACCGGCCATTTTCTTGTTGATTTTTTAAATAAACAACATAATTAACATTGGAATATCAACTGGACACTGGTACAGTGTGATATACAAATTTGCTTGCCCGACAGAAAAAACACTGGACTCGGGCGTCGGGCAATGGGTTATTTCCACCCTGAGAACTGGTCCCCAGCAACCAAGAATGCATGTAAGAGGCAACCAGAGGGATTGGTTGGTCAGGCTTGGTGACTTGGTTGACCACAACTGCATGTATTGACCACACTGTCTGTCCAGAGACATTTATTACAGGCTACGTCATATAGCTTGAAACTTGCTAATTGTGGATTTATACAAAGAAATATATATATTACAAGAAAGACCTTCGATCATAGTTTTTCTGAAAACATATAAGCGTCAGTGCAGATAAATTACAACTATGACACAACAAAACAGGCGGGAGCTATCAGTTTAGAAGTTTTTAACACGGTGTCCTACAAGTAGGTCTGTATCCCCTGTAAGTAGGTCTGTATACACACACTTTGTTGTGTATTCGAGCTTACGGCTGTCATGAGCTGACTTGTCATACTTCCAAGTTTGTTAACCATGGTGGTTGAGTGGGTAGATCACTCACTTTGAATATTGGATGGGACACAACCCCAAAATGTGCTAATTTGTATTTTACTGAGAAAGTGTAATCCCACAAATAACACGTCATGTTGAAATGGGGCGGTGGGGTAGCCTAGCGGTTAGATCGTCTGCTTGTCATGCCGAAGAACTGGGTTCGATTCCCCACATGGGTACAATGTGTAAAACCCATTCGTGGTGTCCCCCGCCGTGATATTGCTGGAATATTGCTGTTAGTGGCGTAAAACTGTTGAAATAAGCAACACATTAAAAAAAAGACTACAAAATCTTGGGAATGTGATCTGATGAAGTCTGCAGTTGATGCCGAATTCATCTCTTGACCTTCAATTCAGTGAAATTCATACATTGAAATTTTTAGAAAAATACACTCAACGTCTTTGAGTACCGTATTCACTGTATTAAGGTGGAGTGCTTATAAAACATCAGGGGTGGAAATAACTTTACAATTGCAAAGTGTACTCCGGTATAGTGGCACATGCAAAATCACTTTGCCCTGATAATTTTTCCACTATACCGGCGGTTTCCTTGTTGATTTTTAAATAAACAACATTATTAATATTGGAAAGTCAGCTGGACACCAGTACAGAGTGATATACAAATTTGCTTGTCCGACAGAAAAAACACTGGACTCGGATGTCGGGCAATGGGTTATTTCCACCCCTGAACATGTATCACAGGTTAAATCTAGAGATGAATCAGTAGCAAAACATAATGAACAGAATTCCAAAACAAAAACATTTACTGTCAGAGCTCATGTCTCCAAATCATCATCATCCAATAATAATTACATGGCAATCATATTACCCTTCTAACCTGATATCTATGGTGAATAAACTGATGAATAAATCTGCATTATACACAAGACAATACAGGCAGTCATCACAGGCAATTAAAGTTTAGTTCTTAGTATTGGACACTAGAGGTGTGGCGATACAGAAATTTCCACCGATCACGATCGACAATCGATATCATGGAGCGATCACGATTCGATATGATGCATATCACGATATGCTATCTTTAGTTATTTTCTTTAAAAAGTGTATTCTGATAACAAGAAACAGTGTAAATTTTGCCATAACCATCAATTTCTGGTGAAAATTCACAATTTTAATGGTCAACGATACATATCGCGATCCGGAAAACAGTATCGATATATTTATTGTCAGAAAAGTATTACGATTATCGATACTCGATATATACACAGCTCTAATGGACACTTCTGCAGATAATCTAGAAACTGGTCTAGAAGTTGACAGTGACCATTGGATCCTTGTGCTGCATACAGTGAATTCCGTAATATTAATTGTGTTGATACATTTTCAACATCAAAGTGGAACTTACTCTTTGCTTACACCGTTTAATATCAGTGGGACTAGTTAGCATTGAACCATGTACACTGATATTCAACACTGGTGTATATAATTAAAACTTAGACAATAAGAGGGTCAAAAGAAAATATTGCTTCTGGTTTCATAATGAACCCTAACCAAGCACCCCCACCCTGAACCTATTCTCTCCGGTTGTTGCAAGATAGCTTTTATCACACAGTTAAAGCATTAGCCCCCAAGGTGTGGAACAATCTTGTCTGTAATTATATTTGCTCCACTTTCTGACATGTCCAGCCATCTTAACTGATGACTTGGTCGGGGAGGTCCAGCTATTCTGACAAGGGGACCCTCGGACCGAAACTCCAGATAAAAAGGATATATTTGTAATAAGAAACAAGCAGTCTCTCAACATGAACTAATCAGAGAGGTTATGCTGCCAATACTCCACGTTATTTTTCTACAAACTTGGCTGTACAGATTATATAGCTTGAGCATGATGAAATAACAAGGTTATGGGATGGAGGTGAAAGAGTAAGTTACTGAGGCGAGTGAGCTGTAAGGTGTTGTAGGGTCCACGCGGAGTGTGACGAGAAGATGTTTCAGTATGATGTTTGAGATGTGTGAGTGACTGAATAGGGTGAATGTGTCACTATGATGAGTGAGTGAGTGAGTGAGTGGCCCGGAAATGAACAGCGTGAGCCACTATGATGAGTGAGTGAATGAAAAACTGATGAGGTTGAGTGTGAGTATGATGAGTGATTGAAGAGGTGAATCACTGAGTAGGGTGTATCACTATGAGTGAGTGAGTGAGTATAAGTGAGTGAGTGAGTGAGTTATTATTTAACGTCACATCGGCAATATTTCAGCTATATGAGTGGCGATATAAGTGAGTGACTGAATAGGGTGAGACTCTGTGATGAGTGGTGAGTGAGAGTGAGCAAGCAAGTGAGTGAGTGAGTAAAGAGTTTGAGTGTGAGAGTATGAGTGAGTGGTATGATGAGTGAGTATGAGACCTCTAAGTGACCAATGACATTAAGAGACAGAGTGTGTGAGTGAGTTACCACACCACACTGAACAGTATCAGTTATATCACAGAGTAGTCCTGTCTCACAGTCCCTGAACCACGATATTTCCCCTACTGACTAGCCATCCCTGTATTGCTAAAGTCCTAAATGACGCAAGTCTAGATTTCATCAGGTTCTGAATCTCCCATCTGACTAGGTTGCTTTTTCAGTTTAAATGGGTTTATTTTTTACCATCAAATTGTATATATGCAGAGAATAAGTATTAGTCTAATAACAGAACATCAGTTTGATATGAGAAGCAGGTCATTAACCCTGACAACTCCCGAGAAACCCACATGAATGTGTATGGTGCAGAGAAACCAAAAATCTTTCCACAGGGATTTGAACCCATCTTCAAACTAATCACAGATTCGTGGCACGCCTAAGATGCCCTGACGGACAAGTGTGCCAGCTGCATCCCAGTGACAGAGACTAGCAACAAAGGAAAACGACTACAATAACAGGACATCTAACAAGAGACATCTTCCAATCCCAGGAAGGTATACAGCCATGTATCAGGAAGTGAGGGATTGATGTTCTCCAGTGTTGTTCACAAGGTGACATTAGCAAGTCAAATGACGAAGGACAGATCTATTTCAGTTCCAGAACACTGACACGTGAGTGTGTGACTCACCTGCGTAAAAACCAAACCAAAACCAAACCTTTTCAATTAACTACTAATATTTCCAAAAAACTGGGTGGACATGAAGGGGAGACTACTCTGTACTGCCCAAAATCAAAAAGTGCTACGAATCAGTAATAATCCAGTAATATGGTTGGATACAGCAAATAACTGACTCTGGAACCAGGTAAACCATTGCCTCAAAAAATCATAATCAACATCTAACAACAATTTAAAAACTAAACTTCAAATATTCAAAAATCATGGTTTCACTTCTCATTGTTTGCCATTTGTAAAATATCTGCCTTAAAAATCACTACACTGTTCAAAGTATAGTTTGGGTGCTATACTCATGACAGAAAATCAACCAAGTCACCTTAGCCTGTCACCCCTAGAGACTCAACAACCATCTTCTGAAACTTAACATATTTTACTGAAAAATGTTCATAGTAAAGAAAGTAACATAATGAAAAGGAGCCCTGAGATCTTCTCCATTTCTGAAGCTTGAGGAAATCTTTAGACTTCTGCCTACATTTTCAGACTTTGGCGAGGGCTTTCTTGGATATGAGCTTGCTTCAGGGTCTGGTAATGACAGACTCAGCTTACTCCCTTCCATTTGACTACAGGGACAAACTTCTTCCTAGTTCCAGGGGTTCTTAAAAGCAGAACCAGCATGGAACACGCAAACAAAACAAACCAACTTTATTAATCCTCACACCAGCAATCTCTAAAAGTCTACAGATGTTCAAGCTTCCTTTTTCTTCCACCCTTTACGCCAGCACAGCAAGTGACGAAGGCGGAGACAATATAAGGTCTGGTGTGATAAGAGGGTGATAATTCTCATACCTTGTGACAACTTAATCCAATCAAGTAAAACCGAGCAGAAAAGGGATGACCTTTAACTTGAAATTCT